AGTGAGGGGGGGGGCTCATTGACAGAGGGGGGGGGCTCACTGACAAGGGGGCTGCTCTACACCAGCACTGGACCCTCTGCCCACCAGATAAAGTGGAGTGAAACTGCTCTTTCTTGTTATTTAAATATGATTAATATTATTTACAGAATTGAATGAAGCCACATATTGTAAACTAATAAACTGAAGTTAACTTTTTAAGTTTCAAACTGTGAACATCAGAAATAAAACAATCATATATTGTTTGTCTCAAGATAATTACTTTCATGTTGACATCATCAACCTGAGAAACCAGAGCTCAGGTGTATCAAATTAAATGATGTCAATTCTTTTATTTTAATAAAACAATGTTTTAAGACCTCTCTCACATCTGTGGTCCTTCTAAGACCGTCTTCTTTGGAAAAGAGATCATGTTTTGGATAAACTATTGTAAATCTGCTGATGTCACCAACAGTTACTGATGTAGACTATCTAGTGACAGCACAGTGGACAAAACTTTTCATTCAAACTGTATTTAAATTAACTATTACAACGTAAAAACAAACTTGTAGCAATCATTTTAACATTTAATTTCTGAAGATTAACTGAAGACTTGGTGTTTCATGATCCACAGTGGTGTCACAACAGGAACCATGAGTATAAATAAATTTGTCATCAGTACTTCTTTTTGTACTTTTTTTGTTTTCGTTTTATATAGTGAAATTTGAAAAGATGAGTTGTCAACAACAGCACAAAGATGTCAGAATGTGATGTAATATTTTTATTGTATGTCACTTTAGTTTATACAAGTAATCTTATTAAATTATGTGTTCTCACTGTTGAGAAGCCTGTTTTATAGAACATTCAAAATGCAAATGTTGACTAATCATTATAGTTCATACTGCAGTTAAATATAGATTAAATTAATAAAATTATTTAGAGATTAAAGATGTTTGTTTTATTCCTCTTCAGTCCACATAAACCACCACCAGCCTGTTTAAACCATGTAAACACAACACACACAGTTTCAGTTCAAACAGGTTTGACCTCCCCAATATGGCGCCGGGAAGTGTACACGTCGGCACCGGAAGTGGATTGGCCCGCCGCGCATGCGCGATAGCTGTGGCCGGATCCCTGTAAAGATGTCGGAGCAGGCGGGGAGGGAGCGGAGCGGAGGACCCGAGACGACAGCAGAGAACCCGTAACCGTCTGCTGTTCACCGGTCAAGGTAAGAGAGGGAGAGCCCGCAGGCCTCCTCACACCGCACCGGCAGGCGGCGGAAGGCCTCAGCTGACGGAAGAAGCAAGTTTTCACTGGTGGCCAAACCAGAGTTTGTAGTTCAAAGCCGAAATGTTGACGAGGGCGCGCAGAGCAGTAACAGGGGCGTGTCCGCCATCTTGTGAACAGCAGCTGCGTGTTTGAACACAGGCCGAGCGGGCTGCCCTAAATGGCCGCTCACAGCCCGCCTGTCGGCGGAGGCCGCGTCCAGCCCGTGTTTCAGACCCTTAACCGGGACTGAGCTGCTCCCGGAGCCGCACCGACCACCGAGCTGTCGGTGAGCTGTGCGCGGGCTTCGAGGAGCAGCAGCAGCCTTTTGTTGTCCTCCTCCTCCCCCTCCCTGTTGGTAGAAACACTCAGTGCGCATGCGTGTAACCATGGCGCTCATTTCTGCGTCTGAAGGAAAACAACCATGGAGCGGGTTTTACCGCGTCTGGTCCAGGGTCCGGCTGCTGGTCCAGGGTCCTGCTGCTGGTCCAGGGTCCGGCTGCTGGTCCAGGGTCCGGCTGCTGGTCCAGGGTCCTGCTGCTGGTCCAGGGTCCGGCTGCTGGTCCAGGGTCCGGCTGCTGGTCCAGGGTCCTTCTGCTGGTCCAGGGTCCTGCTGCTGGTCCAGGGTCCTGCTGCTGGTCCAGGGTCCTGCTGCTGGTCCAGGGTCCAGCTGCTGGTCCAGGGTCCTGCTACTGGTCCAGGGTCCTGCTGCTGGTCAAGGGTCCTGCTGCTAGTCCAGGGTCCGGCTGCTGGTCCAGGGTCCAACTGCTGGTCCAGGGTCCTGCTACTGTTCCAGGGTCCTGCTACTGTTCCAGGGTCCTGCTGCTGGTCCAGGGTCCTGCTGTTGGTCCAGGGTCCAACTACTGGTCCAGGGTCCGGCTGCTGGTCCAGGGTCCGGCTGCTGGTCCAGGGTCCAATTGCTGGTCCAGGGTCCGGCTGCTGGTCCAGCGTCCTGCTGCTGGTCCAGGCACACACACACCTGTCCTCACCTACAGACACACACCTGTCCTCACCTACAGACACACACCTGTCCTCACCTACAGACACACACACACACCTGTCCTCACCTTCAGACACACACACACCTGTCCTCACCTACAGACACACACACACCTGTCCTCACCTACAGACACACACACACCTGTCCTCACCTACAGACACACACACACCTGTCCTCACCTACAGAC